GGCTTGTCAGCTGGCGCCCAAGCGATGCGAGAACGGTCGGACCAGACCGAGGACGACTCTTTTGCATTTGTGCCCCTCGCTCCCCCCCCCCCGCGGGCCGGCTGAGCCCAGACTTGACCGTGAACACTAATAATGAAGGGTAATCGGGTCGGTTCGCAGTCATCATGCGGAACTGATGTGCGTGTTTGTGTTTGGCTCGAGGTTGTAGTGATGTGGCAATATGTGCTATGCTGTGCTGGTCAGCGTTGCCTATGTGCAGGCGTCGTCAAGTGCGTACTCGTGAGCCAGGTGACCCAACATGAATGCATCGAGGGAGCGCCGCAACGAGAGCGCATCGTAGCGGTTGACTCCAGTCATTCTGTTCGTGCTGCTCTTGCTGACCCAGGGGATGGCAGGCCTTTGTGTACGCAAGGGCGCCGGGCCCATGCACAGGCAAGCTGTGCCAGGCAACCGCGCGTAGGAGCAGCAGGGCGAGAGCGAGGACATCTTGACATCCCTCATCACCGATACCCTTCCACTCACCTTCGCCCAGACCCATAGCCCCAAATAGCGCAGCTGGTGCGGCACACCCCAGTATTGCGACGTCTTGTGTGTCAGGGCTTCCTGGAATTAACACCGCAACCCGTTTTACCAACTAGAGAGGTCCAGCAAACGGTGCAGCAACGATTCTCACGATTCAGATATGAAATCGTATGGGGCCGACCCAAACGCCGTTTCGGGCAATGTCATTGACAGTTTCCGTTCTCGTTTCGTTGCTGCTATCGTTCCCACCGTAGGGCGGTTTGGATTTCGGAGGAAGCGAGCCGCGTGTTTTTGTTTCCCAACCCTCCTGTGTTGGGTACTCGTTTTGGATAGAGCATCGTGGTCTCCATCACTCCTCCCCCCTCCTCCTTCCTCTCTCCTTTCTCCTCCTCCTTGTCGCCCCCAGGGGGGCCGCGATCTGCGAAACTGTCGCCACTTTCGTGGGCTTCTGGGAGGGCCAGCGGAGATACGCCCTACGCAAATCACCACGAGACCTCGCCGTCCCCCTGGGGGGCTGCGATCTGCGAAACTGTCGCCACTTTCGTGGGTTCCTGGGAGGGCCAGCGGAGATACGCCCTACGCAAATCACCACGAGACCTCGTCGCCCCCTGGAGAGCTGCGATGTGCAAAACCGTCGCCACTTTGGTGGGCTCCTGGGAGGCCCAGCGGAGGTACGTTCTACGCAGATCACCACCGGACCTCGTCGCCCCCCGGGGTGGCTGCGATCTGAAACTGCCGTGGGCTTCTGGGAGGCCCAGCGGGGGTACGTCCCACCCAGATCACCCCGAGACCTCGTCGCTTCTTGGTGGCTGCGATCTGCGAATCTGTCGCCACTTTCGTGGGCTTCTGGGAGGGCCAGCGGGGGTACGTCTTACGCAGATCACCAGAGACCTCGCCGTCCCCTTGGGTGGCTGCGATCTGCGAAACTGTCGCCACTTTCGTGGGCTTCTGGGAGGGCCAGCGGGGGTACGTCTTACGCAGATCACCACGAGACCTCCCCGTCCCCCTTGGGTGGCTGCGATCTGCGAAACTGTCGCCACTTTCGTGGGCTTCTGGGAGGGCCAGCGGAGTGACGTCTCACGCGGATCCCCACGAGACGTCGCCGTCCCCTGGGGGGCCGCGCAGCGAATAGCGCATGGCGCTGCTCGTTGTCCATGCCGCATCCGTTATTCAGCTGTCTGTTGCTTGTAATGCTTGCGGGCGCATGCTACGTTTAGCGCAAGGCGCTGTACTGTCATAGCGCGCAGAGTGCTGTCCTGAAATTCGAACACAGCGAAAGGCGCTGCCACTCCCATGAAGTATGCCTCCGATCGTCCTCCTCCAGATGATTCCACGCCCCCTCGTGGTCGCTCCACTGCCAACGACCGGACTCGTAAGAGTGACGCCACATATGTGAAACATCTGAGTCTGGCCTGACGGTCTTTGGCGAAGCGTTCAAGGGCACTGCGGGTCATTCAATGCTGGCTTTTCTATTGGGGGATCCGATGTGTACTCGCCACATGTTTAAATAAAGGTTGGTTACGTTCCCGGGTTAGTAGACAGACGGAATTTGCTGAACATGGGAACTATGTTTTTGTTGGCGCCTGCCATTGCATGTGCGACGCGGAGCTCCTCTCCACACGGCGCGTGGCTCGTTTGTTGTGCGCAGGAACAGGCTTGCCGCTCCCTTCCCTCCCCCCCCCAGTCCGCCCCCCTCCACAATTAATCAATATGAATACTACTCTCCCTCTTCCCCTGATGACGGTTTGAAAGTGGCCGACCCCCCCCGCGTATTGTTTGTTTACACAGGTTTCCCCGGACTTGGGTTTTCGCTTGCATATTTTCCAAAATGCTGCTCTCGCTGGGGCGCCGGCCTCATTTTCCGGCCCCGCTCGTTCCGAATCGTGCTCCCGCTGCAGCGCTGGCCTCATTTCCGTGCTTCCGCGCGTTCCGAATCGTGCTCCCGCTGCAGCGGTGGCTTCATTTCCGCGCTTCCGCTCGTTTCGACTCGTGCTCGCGCTGCAGCGCTGGCGTCATTTCCCGTGCCATGCCACGGCATGCAATGCAATGCTAGGTTGATACTACGCTTTGCGGTGCTCTTCTACGCCATGCCATGCCGCGCTCTACAATGCATCGCGTACCCTTTCGGGATCCTTGTCCTGCTCGATATCCGACTGAGCGAGTAGAGATGGGATCTGCGCCATGGTAAGGGATGGGAGGGAGGGGTAGGATGTCATATATGACGCGAGCGCACCTAGCTTGCCCCTTTCCCCTCTCCTCCATCCCCCTCCTTGCTGCTGCTGCGTCTCCGCCTTTTTTTGTGCTCTCGTCCATCTTCCCTCGCCCTCCCCATCCGCCTCTGTCCTCCCATCTTTCCTCCTCCACCCCCTTTCCTGTCGCTGTCGCTGGTGGCTTCGGAGTTTGTCGCAAATGCAGCCATTTGCTTCCCTGGCGGCCAACACCGCCAGGGAGGGAGGGCGGACCGGTAGAGCAGAAATAGCAAAAGGCAATGATGAAACACCCGCCTCCCGCTCCTTCTCTTCCTCCTCCTCCTCCTCCTCCCCTTCCCCTCCTCCTCCCCCTCTTCCTCCTCCTCCTCCTCCTCCTCCTCCTCCTCCTCCTCTTCCTCCTCCTGCTCTTTTTCCTGCTCCTCTACTGCTCCGCATCCCCGCTCGGTCCCCGGGCGCCAGGAGAGGCTGCGCACCCTCATCCAGCGCGTCGACGAGGGTGGGGCAGGGCGGCGCACGAGCAGCAGGGGAGCGCGGAGAGTGGGTGGTGGCGGATGGCGAGGAGGGGCGATGGATGGGGGAGATGGAGGAGGAGGGGGGGAGGAGGAGGAGGAGGAGGAGGAGGATGAGGAGGAGGAAGAGGAGGAGCAGGACGAGCAGGAGGAGGAGGAGGAGGAGGAGGAGGAGGAGGAGGAGGAGGAGGAGGAGGAGGAGGACAGGAGGAGCAGGGGGAGGAGGAGGAGGAGGAGGAGGAGGAGGAGGAGGAGGAGGTTCTCCTCCTCTTTCTCCTCCGATCGCCCCTCCCAGCCATCCTGCTCTAACGCCATGAACTCCTCTATGGGGAGGCCTAAGGCAAACTCCTCACCTGTCAGCAATGTCAAACCTGAATTCTCCTCCTTGAGCGTTCCTCCCTCCATACCCCTGGCGGATGGCCTGCAAGTCGGCCAACTCATCTGCATCGCCGTCCTCCTTGCCGTCGCCTCTCCGTCCGCCTCTCTCTCTGCGGCCTCCTCTGCGGGATGAGGATGAGGATGGTGATGAGGAGGATGAGGCGGAGATGATGGTGATGAGGAGGATTAGGACGATGATGAGGAGGATGAGGAGCAGGATCATGGTGATGGGGATGAGGATGAGGAGGATGAGGATGGTGATGATGATGATGATGATGATGATGATGATGATGATGATGATGATGATGATGATGATGATGATGATGATGTTGATCAGGATGGTGATGAGGAGGATGAGGATGGTGATGAGAGTGAGGAGGATGGTAATGCGGATGAGGATGAGGATGAGGAGGATATGGATGGTGATGAGGAGGATGTGGAGCATGGGGAGGCCCATGCCGCGGAGGCGGGCAGACGGTGATCGCTGTGGGCGCGCCGCCTCCCGGAGCATGTGCGCGATCTGCCTTGGCCTGCGCCCGTTGCGGCATCTGCCGTCACCGCCCTAACGCGTGGCGGTCTCCGCTGTACAAGGTTGGGGGGTGGGGTTGATGATGCGGACGGGTGAGAAGGAGCGCGAGGACACGGATGAGGATGATGAGGAGGACGCAAAGGAGGGGCGATAGAGGAAGAGTCGAGGATGACGAGGAGGAGCAGGCGGAGGAGGGATGATGATGACGATGATGATAATGAGGATGCTGCTGCTGATGATGATGAGGATGACGACGATACTGATGATGATGCTGATGATGATGATGAGGGTGGTGATGATGACGATGAGGATGACGATGATGATGTTTGGATGGAATGCAGGAAGTGGGAGTTAGTATGAGCGGGGCCGCGCAACGTTGTGGCTCAAGCTTTTTCGGGGGCCAGGCGGCCCCCGGATGTGGCACCAGGCCGTCGCTTGGGCTTGGGAGGCTTCCCTGACCTATCTCGCCTCCTGTCCCAAACCCCCTCCTTGTCCCACTTGCCCGCAGTGCCCTGCGATACCGGCGCTGCCAGCGTGCCCGGCGTGCCCAGGAGCGCTTGCGCCTGTTTCGGCGCCGAGCGCTAGCGGCTGGCTGTCGGGGCTCCCGGACCTGCGGCTCCTGATCGCCTTCGCCAGCCTGCTGGTGCTGGCCAGCTGCGGGTGCCTGGGGGCGGCCGTCGTGACGGTGTGGGGCACGAGCCGCCCGCTGGGCCGACGCTCGAGTGCTGCTGAGCCGCGGGCAGAGAGCACGCCCACCATCCTCGACCAGGAGGCCGAGCTCGGATCGCTAGCGCAGGAGCAGCTGAGCGTGAGCCGACAGCGGCGCAGTCGCGTGTGAAGGTATGGCTGCGGCGGTGCCGCCGCCAGTGCAGGGCCTCGGGATCGAGGCCGGAGACTTCGGTGCTGTTCAGTATAATGTGCCAGGAGCGCCTTTGTACCACGAGCGGTTGGTTCTCATCGAACCCGGGGCTGGCACCACCGTGAGTGTGCTGACCCCAGACGGCGACAACTACGAAGAGGACTGGCTGCAGGGAGCCGACATCATTTGGTTCGGCCTGATGGCTGGCGGCGCCTATGGAGGTGGAGCTCCTCTCGGCGCTGGTGGGGCGGTGGTGCCCGTGTATCGGTTCCAACACGTGCCGACGCCTGCGGCTTTCCAGGCGGCCCGCGCAGTCGCCGCGGCGCGCAGGGGGCTCCCCGTGCCCGCCGACGGCAAGCAGCCGAATCTGGCAGGGCGGGCAATCGGCGGCGGCGGCGCTGGTGGGATCGGCGCTGGGGCGGCTGCAGCAGGAGGAGGCTTGCCAGCCGTGGGAGCTGGAGTCGGAGCTCTGGCTGCGGCCCTGGGTCCTGCGCCTGTGGCCCCTGGAGCTGGCGCCCTCGTTGGCGCTGGAGGCGTAGTGCCTGCTGCCCCGCCGGCCGCTGGCGCGGCAGCCGCTGGAGGTGCTCTACCTGGAGCCGGGGCCGCTGTTGGCGCTGGCGTGCCTGCCGCTGCTGGGCCACTCGTTGTGGGTCCTGGCGGTGTCCTCGTACCTGGAGGCGGTGGTCTTGGAGCTGCAGCTGCTGGAGGAGCATCGGTGCCTACTGTGGATGTTCGTATCCAGCCTGTCGGTCACGATGCTTCTGGAGCTCGGTTTAGAGAGTTTCGCCTCGCCGTCGAGGGCATGGTGGAGACTCCGATGAGCGACTTCCCAGTGCGCGGTCCGAAGACCACATTGTGGCTGTGTCGGTTCATGGTGTCGAACGGCCAGACCCCTCTCGGTAGACACGCTCGGTGGAAGGCAGACGCCAAGTTACATAACAACGATGGCGGAGTCGAGAACCATCTTATGTGTTGCCAGATGGTAGAGAGCTTGGCCACGTTCGATCAACTGAACCTGCCCGACATCGCTGGAGCGGAGATCATGGCCAGATCCATCCAGCTGTCCGAGGAGAGGTACCGAGACCGCATGCCCAGTTTTGCGGGCAGCAGTGGCGAGACGACGCAGTATGCCTTCCTGTACATGGGTCTCGATCATGTTCGTGGGAACGTGGCCGTTTGCCCGGCACTGCAGTCCTGGGCATCGGCCGAAGTCCAGAAGGTGTCCGTCATGAAGGAGAGGCGTAAAGCTCGAGAGGAACGGGCCAGCGCCAAACAGAACAAGAACAATACCAAGAAGGACGGAAAAGACGATGGCTGATCCATCGCGGGCGGCGGGGCCAGCGTTGACCGCCGCCTCTCGGGGTGGAGGCCGCTCCAGGTGATGCCCGCGCTTCGCCTGTTTCTTTGGTGTATATTTCTCCTCCTCCTGGTCTTGAGCTCGAGGCCGACCCCTCTCACCCCCAGTGTGTGTCGCCGACGCCTGGCCTCTCTGGTCGTGCGGGTAAGCGCCCTAATGCTGACCGTGAGCGGGACATCTTTCCCTTGCCTTTTTTGCCAGAGGTGGGGGGGGGCAGCAGCAGGCAGTTTTGCACCCGTGCCGCAGCGTGCAGAGAAGGCGCCGCCAGGTTCAGCATTGCCGTGATTGGGCTAACGATGGGATCTCTTGTCTTAACCAGTTGTCTGGGGTGGGCGTCCAGGGGCGCTCCCATGGGCCTGAGAATGCGGGACAGCGGGATGCCATCAAACACGTTCGCGATTCTTACTCTGCCATTTCAGCTGCCCCCACAGATCTGGTTACTGGCGTGGGATCTTTGCGCGAGATCTGCACCGCCTCAGGACTCTATGACGACGGGTCTGGGTCCACTGGAAGGCCGTGCAGTCGGCGATTACTCTCCCTCCCCGACCAGGTGCATGCCGCTTGTGTGACGACAATGTTGTCAACGGGGGATACCGATTGCCTGTGCGATTATCAGGTAAACTTGCTTAGGGACGCTAATGAAGCCAAGGCCTTACATCAAGAACTGGGTCCGAAGGAACCATATGTTGACCCCTTCTTGAAAAAACAACCCCAGGGCCTACTCCGACTTTCTCTCCCTCTTCTTCGATCGCGGGATGCTCGACTGGACTTTGGCCCCGGAGACGCCCCATGCGCTTGGAGTGTTTTTCGTTGCCAAAAAGGATGGGAGGATTCGTGTGATTTTCGGCACCCGCGTATGTAACTACTCATTCAGGGACCCACTATCTACTAGGCTGCCGACGGCTTCGTCTCTCAGTCAGGTGGAGTGTGATGGGCCTGCGTTTGTGGCCGCAGGAGACATCAATGCCGCGTTCTATCTGATGGGGTTGCCATCCTTTTTGCGTGCTCACTTCAGGCTGCCGTGCATAGCTGCCCGACATCTCGGTCTCAAGAATTTGAATGGGCGCGCCCTCCACCCTAATGCACTGATCGCTCCTCAGCTATGTGTGTTACCCGTGGGTTGGTCGTGGTCACTACTGTTGTGTCAGAGTGTGGTCAGACATGCCATCTCCGCCGCTAACATCCCTACCTCCCTCACGTTCCTGGGCGGTCTCCCGGCGGTGGTGGTTAAGGGGGGCGATGTGGCGGTTGCAGGGTACGTTGACAATGTTTTGATTATCGGGACGGATAAACCCTCGACTGACAAACTCCTGGGAGACATTCGACAGGTTTTGGAGCAGAAAGGTCTTATGCTTCACGAGGTGGAGGAGGGCGCCCAGGATTTAAGTTTTCTCGGCCTCCAGCTCACTGGAGGAGACAGGCTCTCTATAAAGCACCGCGACCTGTGGCGCCTACGCTGCGCCATCGAGGCGGTGCTGCGACGGCGACGCTGTAGTGGATACCTTATGCGGGCACTCCTGGGACATATTACTTGGGCCGGGTTGATCCGCCGGGAGGTTTACAGTGTTCTCCAGGTCAGTTATGCGTTCGTGTCCAAAAATGGCCCCAGGGTCGTGGAGATCTGGCCAGCTGTTCGACGAGAGCTTTGGACTGTCAGGTGTCTACTGCCGCTACTGAATGTGCGCTGGACTGCAGGCTGGCATGCGACTGTGCTGGCTACAGATGCATCGACTTTCGGTCTAGGGGTGTGTAATAGACAGGCCGAGGCTGCTCACGTTGGTGCGATCGGTCGGATATCCGACAAATTGAGATTCAAGGTTGAGCAGTGCATCGACGCGCGCAACCACGCGCTCCTCGACCCCGT